TGGTGGCATGCCGTAATGTGTCATGCCGTAGTCGGTCCGTGTGTTCAAATCTGCTAAGGAATATTGTAAAGCATGGTCTGGTGAGCAAATCTGGCTAAAATCGTTAGTTTTGTTAATAAAAACGCACAATTTCGAAGAAAATTTACCGAACAAATGGATTGCCAATCTACAGAAAGCTGGAACAATTTGCGCGGTAAAACTCTAGGAAGACGAGCCTAAGATGATACCCATGACAACTGCACTCCGGTCGGTTATTATGAATATCTCCCATTTACTTTGAGTGTGTATCGTTGTTTTAATATTTTGATAACCGGTGTTTCTGTATACGTTGGTATAAATACCGCATTTTTATTCAACGGGGCAACCCCTTTCTTTAAAAAAATCATTCGATTCTACCTGCAAGTAGTTTGCTTGAAAGCCGACGGATGTTCAGCTATTGCGCAGTGGGAATTACTGGGGTTCGACCCTCTGGACTACCACTATTCTGCTCTTCTACACTGCTTACTTGAAGGAGAAATTCTGCAATATTTTCAGTATTTAGAATGGAACATAATTGGGATTGAACCAAGATACTTCCCTGTATGGGAGATTAACTCATATAACTTTGGTCGAATATTAACAAACCATGTCGCCTGACTGGTTTTAAAATTCCTAAACCCGTCTCCATCGGTTTCTGTACATTTTCTACGTTCATGGTCGATAGCTGTTGTAACCAGAATCCCATCTTATCATGGACGTTCGTCTCCATTTCAAATACTTAATTATCATCACAGCAGGATCAGTAACACAATAGGAATACTGAAAAGACTTCTGAAAGTGTTAGACAGCTCACGACCAGTTTCGCCTTTCTTAGGGTTCATCAGGTAAGCGCACTTACTGAGATCCCATCAGCGCTGTGTTCTTGATGATCTTTTAGTTGAAGCGAAATATTGTTGGTGGTTCACGTGTGTTCCTCACAGTTTCATTCATCTGCTACGTAGCTGAGAAAATTCGCTTGTTCTCCGCTAGCAGTGAGGCAGCTTACATCAAGACGATTCGCTTGGTCCGAAATTCAGATATGCGGATACTCGCCAACACCTCTCATAAGTAACTTTTTCTAATCTCGGGCCCAGCATCCGCTCGACCTTCAGTGTGCCTCCGTGGAAATTATCCCCACACTTTAACATCATAGTTGGCACATTTTCTCGGGAATCCTGAATTCTGTTGGTGTACGTTGGGGTGAACTTTGTGTGGATACAAATTCCTGTTTCATTGGAAGCATTGTCAGGGATTGGTGCAAACCAGTGTTGGACATGCCTGGTCCTCGGTCCTAGGTATGCGTGTTGAATAATCCGTTTGCATGCCTGGACTGATTTCCCGGCTGAGATTCTGTTATCTCTCTGTCTTCAGGTCCCAGAGGTATCCCAGCACACAACTCATCTAATAGAGTTGTGCAAAGCCGGATACAATCCCGAAATCATCATCCAGTCTGTCCACAACGTCTGCTCCTAACGGGCACACATCATGTTGTGCGATTTTACCAAAATAAACTGAATTCCAACTGGTCCGTATCGAGTTTTGCCATCGTCTCGAAGCGTTAGTTGTGTTTTCCTTCGAGTTAGCCGTCAAAGATCCTTCGGTAATAACTGGAAGCATTTATGTGAAAAAGTGTCGGGATTCTCAGACCTTGTGAACTCATCAGGAAGCCTCCACATATCCGACGCACGAGTGCAAAATTGGTGCACAGAACGACCACAAATAGGCCGGTCGGCCCACATAAGTAGAACAGCTTTGTGTCGTCTGTCGACCCAAGCACACTGCTCAAATTTCAGTGTTTCTCGTAGTCACGCCTACCGGGATAGAGACGCATCATCGAACTTAACCACATCGCCTTTGAATTTGTCCTCATAGAGCCCAGTAAAACTTCATCTTATATTTAGATGAGGTCGGTGGGAAGGCCTTAGTTTGTCTGTCAACGCACAGACTGCGATAGAAGTTTATGTGTGAACTGTTGAGTACAGTATACATACACTCCTACACTGCAATGAATTAGTTGCTGTATGTAGCCGCTGTTACATCCGCTCTAGTAGGAGGCAGCCACTGCATAACACCAGCACGAAATACATCGTTGTTCGCTAGTTGGTAAATTGTTCTACTCACTGCAAGGAACTGGAGATAAGTTAGCCAAGAAACATCGATTCCCAGTCCTGGTAACTTTCGCGTTGTGAGGTTATGAGTGCATCAGTCATAATACTTACTTCTATCGTAAGGAATGTGATTCACTCTACGTCGTAAAAAATATCAGAGGATGGGCATCCAGCCTAAACCTCAACTCAGACGGCAATCCAAATACTTCGGTTACAATCACACAATTTGCCGACCGATTAAACCGGGTTCCTGCCACCTAGTGGCGGAGCCGTTAAGCTACCTCTTGTCTTTGTGTAAATGTCAGAGTAAAATAAAAAGGTAAGTTGCCGTCATATCCAACTACTTTCCCCACACCTGGGCCTAGTACCAGAAAAGGTACACAAGAGGCTTATTGCAAACAAGCGATTGCGCGCTAGTGGAAAACGTACAACGGCCTCGCGCTATTTAATGTGCCCTTGATCGCATTAACCCCGGCAGATTGATGGCGTTTAATGAAAACCTTCAAAATCGACCGTGCTTTTGAGAGACGCCTGAACGCTAATCACAATTGATCGTGCTTCTTGGTGTACATGAACGCACTTCTGCTTCTGCCGAATTGATTGAATGATTGACTTGCCTGGATGCTTGCCGGCCTTCTTATTCAGATTTTGGTGAAGTTTTAGGGTTTCAGTAGGTTCTGACCATCCTAAGGTTACCGTCAGGCATCGGACCTTTCTGAGAGTAAAGTGCTTCCATTCGCATATAAATTACGTCTTGTCAGGGAACTCAAAAGCACCCACAAAAATCTTCCGTGTATACTGTTCAATTCCACCTGGATCGCAAATTGAAATACGTTTCAGAATTCTCTTCAATGATGAGTTGGTTCATTTCTCATGGTGCGCATATTGCTCGTGATCGTATTTGTATCCCAAGAAGAAATCACCTAAGCTTTGCCGACCCCGAGGATGTCTTGAACGCCATATGCAGGAATGTGATATTTGATACAAACGAAATTCCCGGGACAAACTAAATTGAATTGGTATTAAGTACCCCTAGGCTGCAGGATATCTAACGTAAATGATGTGCTTTGCTTGCCACAATAGGAGACACAAAATTGAGCAAGTTGCATGAAATTTAACATATAATGTTTTGCCCGGACTCGTCGGGCTACGAAAACAGCGGAAGTGAATCACGCACCTCGGTCCAGACCACCCTCCCGCGATTTAGATTTACAACGAAAATCATTGTACAACTAGCAGATGCTCCCTATTGGAGTGAGGTCATTTTCTCTAGACATCTCCAGATATCTCGGTGGTTAAGTCGCTAAATTGTGAGACTTCGTTTGTCAAACCGTTCCGAATAATCGTCTTCGTTTCGCGCAGCTGATTTAACATTTAATGGTTCCGGTTCGGCAGGCATGCTGAACTGTTCGAATCCCGACGCTAAAATGTGGGAACTATGTTCCGGAAGTATATCGTTTTAACCAGACGAACCAGAAATTCAGAATTCAGCGCAGCGTAGCAAGTAACACGAATGTGTTCGAATTGACGTATGTGTACAGCATCTAAAATATTAAAACAAGGGAATAATGGGTACAGGAATGAATAGATATCAATCATTTTCATCACAGGGTGAGACCGCAACTGGCTCTATAATGTCTTTGTGTAAACATAATTAAACACAGTCCTTATCCCGGCGCTCACGGAAACCCATCCGTGTTTTGGTGCACCGCTAACGGTCACGAACCTCAGAGGAATAATCGATGATATCTCCAGTGTCTAACAGCAGGGGCGACCAGATTCCAGCGGTTGGCCTGTTGAGTGTAGCACGCATGGTGCATTTGGCACGGTAATCGGCTGGGGCAAACATTGACGACGTTGCAGTCACAGGAGAACAGGGATGATTCAACAGCGGATGACCTGAAGGACAAAGTTGGACTAACTCGATGAAGAGCTTGCAGCCATTAATACGGAGTTACAGAGGCATGCACTAAACTGCCACTGCTGCAGATGTTGCATGCCTCGCCACAGAGATAACCAATGTCCTCGTACTCGACCACTTGTGTATAATAAACATTGGATCACTGCTCTATTCCCGAGTAAGTAACGATGAGCGCAGTGACAAAGCACAGAATACCTGCACGGGGATAGAAAGGAAGGGGAAGCTGTGACTGACTGATACAGGTGCAGGCCTATCGCTGAGACTAGAAGGGAGCGATTCTGAGTGCAACAGTGTGCGCTAGCTGCGTGAGCACTGGAGGATTACGACTGAATTTCGACGGATTGTCAATGCACTGAATGTGCCAAGGCGACAGGTCCGTGAAGCACGATCCGCTGATCATCCCAGACATGAAGCAGACAAATTAGGAGCACATTCTGTCAAGAGCGCAGAATTCGTTGTTGATCTAACAGGGGAAAAATATTTAAAGCGATCATCTGAGCCTTGGATAATGTGAGTCTTGCCTGAGACAAAACAAACGGCAACCTTTCTAATTATCATGCGATATTTTCAACCGTGAGCACCGTATTCCCTCGGTTTTCTGCCTCGGCAAATAGATGCCAACATTCGGAACGCAAGCCCAACACCGTGAAATATCGGGAATGCTATGGGGAATAAAAAGTCTCAGCAACCACAGGCACAGCTCCAACCAGATCTACCATCCGTTTATTCAACCAAAGCCTGCTTGGAGTTCGGTGATACTCATGGGGTGTAAATTGGGCCACGGGTGATTGGTTCACTACCAGAAGAGCTGGCAAAGCTCAATTCCAACCCGTCCCTTCGGCAGCTTCCAGAATGAGCAGTGTACTACAGTCGGTTTGTCAAGGATTTCCATTCGATTGCTCCACTGTACGACTTGCTCGGACAAAATCGGAAATTCGAGTGTATCAGGGAAGCCCATGAGGCCTTCGAAATTGTCAAAGCGTGGATACGGGATGAACAACCGACCACTGTCGAACGGATGTTCACTGTTGCAAGGAACGCTAGTGATCGCGGTATCGGGGCACAACTAAAGCAGAGAAATGGAGCTACCGAATAAGCCAGCCGTTTCCCGATCAACGCGGAGCCGCAGTATTCGACGACTGTGAAATTATGTTAATCGTTTGTCCGGGCCATATACACTTGGGATCACACTGGTTGGACGAAGATGTTATGTTGAAACCGATCGCAATCCTGCAGAGTGTGTCAGGACCAGCAGAGATCCTCGCGGAATGCTGGGGCGCTGGGCACTTCGGTTGCAAGATTATGACTTCAGTATCCGGCAAGTACCACCGAGATGACTGGCTGTCAATACCAGAGGCTGAAGAGGAGGTCCACATGATCAAGATTGGTGCTAATAATAGAGCCGTTAAAGTGGTTCCCGGAAGGTTGGTGCAACTAAAACGGCAGGGTCCTTCGTTACGGAAGGTTTGGGCTACCTCGATAGATGGAAGGCGTATTAAGAGGTGTGAGAGGAACAAGTAATTGTAACGTTTCCAGCGTCAATCCGATCGGTTGGGTCTGAGTGAATCTTGCATAATTTCTCGTAACACCGCAATTGCAGTGCTGTGCTGTCCGTGGAACCACGCGTCTTGAGACGGAAGCTGATGGTGAAATGCCACGTGATGGCACACACAGGATACACCATCATATACGACTTACTTCGGCAGATGGCCCAGTGGCCCAAGTTGAGAAATGAGGTGATGGATAATGAGGAGTCCCGCAAGCGGCGTAAACATATGATAGAGGATACGACAGGGGCAACCCATCCCATGGAATCTACACCTGTCTCGGAAATCGACTGGAGGCGAATGGTGCCAACGCTGTTGCTAGCTTATCGTGCTTCAATACAGTCAACCAAAGGCAAATCTTTCTTCATGATGAGAGACGGTTAGAAAATTGTGTTACGGCGGGTATCACCCGTTTACATTTCTTAGATAGTCAGCGAATATCCAGGGAAGTTCGAGAAGACGTGTTAAAGAAGACAGAGAAGAAATATAGTTCATTTTAAAATAAGGTACATGAAAGGGTTTTAGTTGCCCGTTCCATTGTGTGCAAAAGTGTAATTGGTGTTTTCTGATAAGTGTCAACGCAGCTAAGGGCTTCAATACATTTACTGATACCTAAATCACAAACTGGCTATTGCAGGCATTCCGTATACACGTCGCTGGATACTAGTAAGTAGAACGTTGAGTCCTTTCGAATCAGTGAGCTGGACTTTCATCGACTTCAAGATAAGGAAATCATGTTAGATATATCACCGGTAAGTAGCTAGGCTCTGGGGGCGTGCGTGTTGACCATGTTCATTCAACTCACGAATGTGCCGAAAATCACTCAAAAGCCCACCACCAGTTTGGTCCTTCTTCATTATCGGTCCCCGAGATTCCATCCACCCCAAATTCCATTTGAACCGAACTTGGACAGATTTTGATAACTTCGCTCATTTGCACATGAAGTTCGGTTTTGACAGTAGACTCAGGTGAATCCAGCT